CCCCCCCCCCCCCCCCCCCCGCAGGATCCACGATTTCCCCTCCCAGTGGACCTACCAGGCAATCTGCGGTGTACTCTCCCTGCCCAATGCAGGCTTAAGCATGCAGAAGGATGCCGAGCACGAAAATAGTAGTCACACATGGTACTCAGTACTCATGTGGCGTAGCTCTGTATGAGATTGTATGAGATACTAGATGTTCACGTAGCAATTACTGTAATGGATGTGTTTTTGCTTTTGGTAGAAGTCACGTGCAATTGCATTGGGCCAACATGTGCTGAATATTTCACAAGGCAGTGTCTCATAGAACACATTCTTGAACACCAAGTCTTCAACAGACACTGGTATGGCTTCCTTGTTGCAGTCATAAAAGTTGAAAACAATCAGCAGTTCAGTCCTTTATGCTTAGGTAGTCGCTAACGCTCATCTCGTTCACGAGGGAGGTCACAAGCAATTCGAACCTGTGAACCACGCATGCATCAGTGACTAACATGCTGTCAACATAACTACATAACCCCAACAAAGCATGTTCGAATCTTGTCTACATCATTAGACATGTGGTCAAATATCGAAGAAGTATTGTTCAGCTCATAATTAAGTCTTAGACAAACACTTGTTAACAACCGGCTGCATTGCTGTAGTGGATAAGCAACCGTTTATTGCCAGATCGTAGGTAGCTCTGCAGTTGATAGTAATGGAATTTGGAGCAATTAAGGCATGTATCAACTGTGTCAACATCACATGTCAACTGAAAATAACTTGACGGCGAATTGAAATCTTTTGCGTTCTGCTTTTGCGTTCTGCTAAGTGGGGATGTAGACATATAGAGCGCAAAGCTGAACATCGTGCATTCGACGAAAATGCATGCAAGGCTTAAAAAGCTAGACTGTGATCTTCAAGAGCAGCTTAATCCTATGTGAATGCTTTATGCTAGGTGCAGAATCGTTCATTGTTGGATTTTTCAGCTAACTACAAACTTACACAAAGAGAAACATACGATAGTCAAACGCGAGAAGAGTACTCAAAAAGACACGGTTTAGATACTCAACGCATATCGTCGAAACAAACGTTGAAGCGTATCTTAAGTTTCAGTGGTTAACGACGACCCCTAAACTACAGGTTGATGACAACTCTGTTAAATTTGGGTTGCAAATGGCTGAATATGCACTGAGCATCCATTGCCTACCATTGCGTTAGCATTTACTTTTGTGCAAACGCCTATGAACAGCATGGCCATACTAACTACATGTTAGATATGTATGTATATACATATGTATTTCCAAACTGTGAACGTCAAGTGCTAAACAGTTGCTGAGAGAATGCTGATCTCCTTTTACCGTTCTTGTAACCAGAAACTCGACATAGAAGTATAGCCCAATGCTGAACATCAAGTAAGTATCAACAGACTTTTAGCACATGTAAGGTTACAGGATTAGATATTAACCTCTGATATTGAAATGCCGACTACATGCTCTTTTGGAAAACATGACATTTGCTCATCAACCGTCACCCGATGTCTGCTAATCGATATCACATTTCATTGACTTACTGATAAACGACTTGAGCACCATACGAGCAATCAAAGTACGTTAACTTCCACACAAAAACAATTTCAAAACGAAAAACTCGAAACTTTAAGGACACCTGACCCCATGTATCTACTCTCTTTGGCCTCATGTACGTGCCGTCGACAAGAGCATGACACAGTCAGTCTGTCTTCAAGGGCCGTGGTTTGTTTTTCCACACGGACACTAGTACAGGCCTCCCACTGGGAGAACTCTCGGAATTTAGACGCTTCTTCAAGTTTTTGTTTGGTTAGGTTTTCCAGTAGGCTTTTTCGGTTCGGTATTTTCTCAAGTAACACTGCGAAGACTTTCGTAAACCTTTTCCCCTAACCCACGGCCCTTGAAGATGCGCGTCCCTGCGGCTTAGTTGTTTCGGCTAAGCTGTTTCTGAATTACAGTAAGCTTGCAAAGGCTCCCCTAAACCCTCTACTTATACTCTAACCCACGGTCCTTGAAGACAAGCTGCATGTACATGAGGCCAAAAAACGGATCCATTGTGGGAGGGCACCATATGTACA